AGGTAGGTGAGTGAGTAAGTGAGTGAGTAGGTGAGTAGGTGAGTGAGTAGGTAGGTGAGTGAGTAGGTGAGTGAGTAAGTGAGTAGGTAGGTGAGTAGGTGAGTGAGTAGGTGAGTGAGTAGGTGGGTAGGTGAGTAGGTGAGTGAGTAGGTGAGTGAGTAGGTGAGTGAGTAGGTGGGTAGGTGAGTAGGTAAGTGAGTAGGTGAGTAGGTGAGTAGGTGAGTGAGTAGGTGAGTGAGTAGGTGAGTGAGTAGGTGAGTAGGTGAGTGAGTAGGTGAGTAGGTGAGTAGGTGAGTGAGTAGGTGAGTGAGTAGGTGAGTAGGTGAGTAGGTAGGTGAGTAGGTGAGTGAGTGAGAAGGTGAGTGAGTAGGTGAGTGAGTAGGTGAGTAGGTAGGTGAGTAGGTGAGTGAGTGAGAAGGTGAGTGAGTAGGTGAGTGAGTAGGTGAGTAGGTAGGTGAGTGAGTAGGTGAGTGAGTAGGTGAGTGAGTAGGTGAGTAGGTGAGTGAGTAGGTGGGTAGGTGAGTAGGTAGGTGAGTGAGTAGGTGAGTAGGTGAGTGAGTAGGTGAGTAGGTGAGTGAGTACCAGTCTATGCCCCGCAGGTAGTTGGAGGTGGAGCTGAAGAATTGAACTTCCTCATACGATGAGGGGCTGGGGTAGGAGTAGGTGAGTGAGTAGGTGAGTGAGTAGGTGAGTGAGTAGGTGAGTAGGTGAGTGAGTAGGTGAGTGAGTGAGTAGGTGAGTAGGTGAGTACCAGTCTATGCCCCGCAGGTAGTTGGAGGTGGAACTGAAGAATTGAACTTCCTCATACGATGAGGGGCTGGGGTAGGAGTAGGTGAGTGAGTAGGTGAGTAGGTGAGTAGGTGGGTGAGTAGGTGAGTGAGTGGGTGAGTGAGTAGGTAGGTGAGTAGGTGAGTAGGTGAGTACCAGTCTATGCCCCGCAGGTAGTTGGAGGTGGAACTGAAGAATTGAACTTCCTCATACGATGAGGGGCTGGGGTAGGAGTAGGTGAGTAGGTGGGTGAGTAGGTGAGTGAGTAGGTGAGTAGGTGAGTAGGTGAGTGAGTGAGTAGGTGAGTAGGTGAGTGAGTGAGTGAGTAGGTGAGTAGGTGAGTGAGTAGGTGAGTGAGTAGGTGAGTAGGTGAGTGAGTGAGTAGGTGAGTGAGTAGGTGAGTGAGTAGGTGGGTGAGTAGGTGAGTAGGTAGGTGAGTAGGTGAGTACCAGTCTATGCCCCGCAGGTAGTTGGAGGTGGAACTGAAGAATTGAACTTCCTCATATGATGAGGGGCTGGGGTAGGAGTAGGTGAGTGAGTAGGTGAGTGAGTGAGTAGGTGAGTAGGTGAGTAGGTAGGTGAGTAGGTGAGTAGGTGAGTGAGTACCAGTCTATGCCCCGCAGGTAGTTGGAGGTGGAACTGAAGAATTGAACTTCCTCATATGATGAGGGGCTGGGGTAGGAGTAGGTGAGTAGGTGGGTGAGTGAGTGAGTAGGTGAGTAGGTGAGTGAGTACCAGTCTATGCCCCGCAGGTAGTTGGAGGTGGAACTGAAGAATTGAACTTCCTCATATGATGAGGGGCTGGGGTAGGAGTAGGTGAGTAGGTGGGTGAGTAGGTGAGTGAGTAGGTGAGTAGGTGAGTAGGTGAGTGAGTGAGTAGGTGAGTAGGTGAGTGAGTGAGTGAGTAGGTGAGTAGGTGAGTGAGTAGGTGAGTGAGTAGGTGAGTAGGTGAGTGAGTGAGTAGGTGAGTGAGTAGGTGAGTAGGTAGGTGAGTGAGTAGGTGAGTGAGTAGGTGAGTAGGTGAGTACCAGTCTATGCCCCGCAGGTAGTTGGAGGTGGAACTGAAGAATTGAACTTCCTCATACGATGAGGGGCTGGGGTAGGAGTAGGTGAGTGAGTAGGTGAGTGAGTGAGTAGGTGAGTGAGTAGGTGAGTAGGTAGGTGAGTGAGTAGGTGAGTAGGTGAGTGAGTAAGTAAGTGAGTGAGTAGGTGAGTGAGTAGGTAGGTGAGTAGGTGAGTGAGTGGGTGAGTGAGTAGGTGAGTAGGTGAGTACCAGTCTATGCCCCGCAGGTAGTTGGAGGTGGAACTGAAGAATTGAACTTCCTCATACGATGAGGGGCTGGGGTAGGAGTAGGTGGGTAGGTGAGTGAGTAGGTGAGTAGGTAGGTGAGTAGGTGAGTGAGTAGGTGAGTGAGTAGGTGAGTGAGTAGGTGTGTGAGTAGGTGAGTGAGTAGGTGAGTGAGTGACTGAGTAGGTGAGTAGGTAGGTGAGTAGGTGAGTAGGTGAGTACCAGTCTATGCCCCGCAGGTAGTTGGAGGTGGAACTGAAGAATTGAACTTCCTCATACGATGAGGGGCTGGGGTAGGAGTAGGTGAGTAGGTGAGTGAGTAGGTGAGTGAGTAGGTGAGTGAGTAGGTGAGTGAGTAGGTGAGTGAGTAGGTGAGTGACTGAGTAGGTGAGTAGGTGAGTGAGTAGGTGAGTGAGTAGGTGAGTAGGTGAGTAGGTGAGTGAGTACCAGTCTATGCCCCGCAGGTAGTTGGAGGTGGAACTGAAGAATTGAACTTCCTCATACGATGAGGGGCTGGGGTAGGAGTAGGTGAGTGAGTAGGTGAGTGAGTAGGTGAGTGAGTGAGTAGGTGAGTGAGTAGGTGAGTAGGTAGGTGAGTAGGTGAGTAGGTAGGTGAGTAGGTGAGTAGGTGAGTGAGTAGGTGAGTGAGTAGGTGAGTGAGTAGGTGAGTGAGTAGGTGAGTAGGTAGGTGAGTAGGTGAGTGAGTACCAGTCTATGCCCCGCAGGTAGTTGGACGTGGAACTGAAGAATTGAACTTCCTCATATGATGAGGGGCTGGGGTAGGAGTAGGTGAGTGAGTGAGTAGGTGAGTGAGTAGGTGAGTGAGTAGGTGGGTGAGTAGGTGAGTGAGTAGGTGAGTAGGTGAGTGAGTGGGTGAGTGAGTAGGTAGGTGAGTGAGTAGGTGAGTAGGTGAGTGAGTGAGTAGGTGAGTGAGTAGGTGAGTGAGTAGGTGAGTGAGTAGGTGAGTGAGTAGGTGACTGAGTAGGTGAGTAGGTGAGTGAGTGAGTAGGTGAGTAGGTGAGTGAGTAGGTGAGTGAGTAGGTGAGTGAGTAGGTGAGTAGGTGAGTGAGTAGGTGAGTGAGTAGGTGAGTGACTGAGTAGGTGAGTAGGTGAGTGAGTAGGTGAGTGAGTAGGTGAGTAGGTGGGTGAGTGAGTAGGTGAGTAGGTGGGTGAGTGAGTAGGTGAGTGAGTAGGTGAGTAGGTGAGTGAGTAGGTGAGTACCAGTCTATGCCCCGCAGGTAGTTGGAGGTGGAACTGAAGAATTGAACTTCCTCATATGATGAGGGGCTGGGGTAGGAGTAGGTGAGTAGGTGGGTGAGTAGGTGAGTGAGTGAGTAGGTGAGTAGGTGGGTGAGTAGGTGAGTGAGTAGGTGAGTAGGTGAGTAGGTGAGTGAGTGAGTAGGTGAGTAGGTGAGTGAGTGAGTGAGTAGGTGAGTAGGTGAGTAGGTAGGTGAGTAGGTGAGTACCAGTCTATGCCCCGCAGGTAGTTGGAGGTGGAACTGAAGAATTGAACTTCCTCATATGATGAGGGGCTGGGGTAGGAGTAGGTGAGTAGGTGGGTGAGTAGGTGAGTGAGTGAGTAGGTGAGTAGGTGGGTGAGTAGGTGAGTGAGTAGGTGAGTAGGTGAGTAGGTGAGTGAGTGAGTAGGTGAGTAGGTGAGTGAGTGAGTGAGTAGGTGAGTAGGTGAGTAGGTAGGTGAGTAGGTGAGTACCAGTCTATGCCCCGCAGGTAGTTGGAGGTGGAACTGAAGAATTGAACTTCCTCATACGATGAGGGGCTGGGGTAGGAGTAGGTGAGTAGGTGAGTGAGTGAGTAGGTGAGTGAGTAGGTGAGTAGGTGAGTAGGTGAGTGAGTAGGTGAGTGAGTAGGTGAGTGAGTAGGTGAGTGAGTAGGTAGGTGAGTAGGTGAGTAGGTAGGTGAGTAGGTGAGTGAGTAGGTGAGTAGGTAGGTGAGTAGGTGAGTACCAGTCTATGCCCCGCAGGTAGTTGGAGGTGGAACTGAAGAATTGAACTTCCTCATACGATGAGGGGCTGGGGTAGGAGTAGGTGAGTGAGTAGGTGAGTAGGTGAGTAGGTGAGTGAGTAGGTGAGTGAGTAGGTGAGTGAGTAGGTGAGTGAGTGAGTAGGTGAGTGAGTGAGTAGGTGAGTGAGTAGGTGAGTAGGTGAGTAGGTGAGTGAGTAGGTGAGTAGGTGAGTAGGTGAGTGAGTAGGTGAGTGAGTAGGTGAGTGAGTAGGTGAGTGAGTAGGTAGGTGAGTAGGTGAGTAGGTAGGTGAGTAGGTGAGTGAGTAGGTGAGTAGGTAGGTGAGTAGGTGAGTACCAGTCTATGCCCCGCAGGTAGTTGGAGGTGGAACTGAAGAATTGAACTTCCTCATACGATGAGGGGCTGGGGTAGGAGTAGGTGAGTAGGTGGGTGAGTAGGTGAGTGAGTAGGTGGGTGAGTAGGTGAGTGAGTAGGTGTGTGAGTAGGTGAGTGAGTAGGTGGGTGAGTAGGTGGGTAGGTGAGTGAGTAGGTGAGTGAGTAGGTGAGTGAGTAGGTGAGTAGGTGAGTGAGTACCAGTCTATGCCCCGCAGGTAGTTGGAGGTGGAACTGAAGAATTGAACTTCCTCATACGATGAGGGGCTGGGGTAGGAGTAGGTGAGTGAGTAGGTGAGTGAGTGAGTAGGTGAGTGAGTAGGTGAGTAGGTGAGTAGGTGAGTGAGTAGGTGAGTAGGTGAGTAGGTGAGTGAGTAGGTAGGTGAGTAGGTGAGTAGGTAGGTGAGTAGGTGAGTACCAGTCTATGCCCCGCAGGTAGTTGGAGGTGGAACTGAAGAATTGAACTTCCTCATATGATGAGGGGCTGGGGTAGGAGTAGGTGAGTGAGTAGGTGAGTAGGTGAGTAGGTGAGTAGGTGAGTGAGTAGGTAGGTGAGTAGGTGAGTAGGTAGGTGAGTAGGTGAGTGAGTACCAGTCTATGCCCCGCAGGTAGTTGGAGGTGGAACTGAAGAATTGAACTTCCTCATACGATGAGGGGCTGGGGTAGGATGTCACCACGTTGGGGTGCAGCTTCAGGAATGTGTGCAGAGCTGTGGTACCTGCACATGGTACCACAGAGTACTCACTCAGGTACTCACTCAGGTACTCACTCAGATACTCAGAGCTGTGGTACCTGCACATGGTACCACAGAGTACTCACTCAGGTACTCACTCAGGTACTCACTCAGATACTCAGAGCTGTGGTACCTGCACATGGTACCACAGAGTACTCACTCAGATACTCACTCAGGTACTCACTCAGATACTCAGAGCTGTGGTACCTGCACATGGTACCACAGAGTACTCACTCAGGTACTCACTCAGGTACTCACTCAGATACTCAGAGCTGTGGTACCTGCACATGGTACCACAGAGTACTCACTCAGGTACTCACTCAGGTACTCACTCAGATACTCAGAGCTGTGGTACCAGCACATGGTACCACAGAGTACTCACTCAGGTACTCACTCAGGTACTACCTCAGATACTCACTTACTCACTCAGGTACTCAGAGCTGTGGTACCTGCACATGGTACCACAGAGTACTCACTCAGGTACTCACTCAGGTACTCACTCAGATACTCAGAGCTGTGGTACCTGCACATCGTACCACAGAGTACTCACTCAGGTACTCACTCAGGTATTCAGGTACTCACTCAGATACCCACTCAGCTACTCACTCAAGTACTCAGATACTCACTCAGGTACTCACTCAGATACTCAGAGCTGTGGTACCTGCACATGGTACCACAGAGTACTCACTCAGGTACTCACTCAGATACTCACTCAGATACTCAGAGCTGTGGTACCTGCACATGGTACCACAGAGTACTCACTCAGGTACTCACTCAGGTACTCACTCAGATACTCAGAGCTGTGGTACCTGCACATGGTACCACAGAGTACTCACTCAGGTACTCACTCAGGTACCCAGGTACTCACTCAGATACCCACTCAGCTACTCACTCAAGTACTCAGATACTCACTCAGGTACTCACTCAGATACTCAGAGCTGTGGTACCTGCACATGCACGCAGAGTACTCACTCAGGTACTCACTCAGGTACTCACTCAGGTACTCACTCAGGTACTCACTCACTCACTCAGCTAGCTACTCACTCAGTCACTCACTCACTCAGCTAGCTAGCTACTCACTCAGTCACTCAGTCACTCAGCTAGCTAGCTAGGTACTCAGGTACTCACTCAGATACTCAGGTACTCACTCAGGTACTCAGGTACTCACTCAGGTACTCACTCAGATACTCACTTAGGTACTCAGGTACTCACTGAGGTACTCACTCAGGTACTCACTCAGGTACTCACTCAGATACCCACTCAGGTACTCACTCAGGTACTCAGGTACTCACTCACTCACTCAGCTAGCTAGCTAATCACTCAGTCACTCACTCACTCAGCTAGCTAGCTAGGTACACTCAGTCACTCAGATACTCACTCAGGTACTCAGGTACTCACTCAGGTACTCACTCAGGTACTCAGGTACTCACTCAGGTACTCAGGTACTCACTCAGATACTCACTCAGGTACTCACTCAGGTACTCACTCAGATACCCACTCAGGTACTCCCTAAGGTACTCAGTCAGATACTCAGGTACTCACTCAGGTACTCACTCAGATACTCAGGTACTCACTGAGGTACTAACTCAGATACTCAGGTACTCACTCAGGTACTCACTCAGGTACCCACTCAGGTACTCACTCAGGTACTCACTCAGGTACTCAGAGCTGTGGTACCTGCACATGCACGCAGAGTACTCACTCAGTTACTCAGGTACTCACTCAGCTAGCTAGCTACTCACTCAGATACCCACTCAGGTACTCACTCAGGTACTCAGGTACTCACTCAGGTACTCAGGTACTCACTCAGGTACTCAGGTACTCACTCAGCTAGCTACTCACTCAGATACTCACTCAGGTACTCACTCAGGTACTCACTCAGATACCCACTCAGGTACTCACTCAGGTACTCACTCACTCAGCTAGCTAGCTACTCACTCAGTCACTCACTCACTCAGCTAGCTAGGTAGGTACTCAGGTACTCACTCAGATACTCGGGTACTCACTCAGGTACTCACTCAGGTACCTACTCAGGTATTCAGGTACTTACTCAGGTACTCACTCAGGTACTCACTCAGATACTCAGGTACTCACTCAGGTACTCACTCAGGTACACAGGTACTCACTCAGGTACTCACTCAGGTGAGTACTCACTCAGGTACTCACTCAGATACTCAGGTACTCACTCAGGTACTCACTAAGGTACTCACTCAGATACTCACTCAGGTACTCACTCAGGTACTCACTCAGATACTCACTCAGGTACTCACTCAGATACTCAGGTACTCATTCAGGTACTCAGGTACTCACTCAGGTACTCACTCAGGTACTCAGCTACTCACTCAAGTACTCACTCAGATACTCACTCAGGTACTCATTCAGGTACTCAGGTACTCACTCAGGTACTCAGGTACTCACTCAGGTACTCACTCAGGTACTCACTCAGGTACTCAGGTACTCATCCAGGTACTCACTCAGGTACTCACTCAGATACTCAGGTACTCAGATACTCAGGTACTCACTCAGGTACTCACTCAGGTACCCACTCAGGTACTCACTCAGATACTCAGGTACTCATTCAGCTACCCATTCAGCTAATCACTCAAGTACTCAGAGCTCTGGTATCTGGACATGCACGCAGGTACTCACTCAGGTACTCAGGTACTCACTCAGGTACTCACTCAGGTACTCACTCAGGTACTCAGGTACTCACTCAGGTACTCAGGTACTCACTCAGATACTCACTCAGGTACTCACTCAGATACTCACTCAGGTACTCAGGTACTAACTCAGGTACTCACTCAGGTACTCACTTAGGTACTCACTCAGATACTCAGGTACTCACTCAGGTACTCACTCAGATACTCAGGTACTCACTCAGATACTCAGGTACTCACTCAGGTACTCAGGTACTCACTCAGGTACTCACTCAGGTACCCAGGTACTCACTCAGGTACTCACTCAGGAACTCACTCAGGTACTCAGGTACTCACTCAGGTACTCACTCAGGTACCCACTCACTCACCCACCCACTCACCCACCCACTCACCCATCCACTTGCTCACTCACTCACCCACCCACTCACCCACTCACCCACTCACCCACTCACTCACCCACCCACTCACTTACCCACCCACTCACCAACTCACCCACCCACTCACTCACTCACCCACTCACCCACTCACCCACTCACTCACCCACCCACACACCCACTCACTCACTCACCCACTCACTCACCCACTCACCCACCTACTCACTCACCCACTCACTCACCCACTCACTCACTCACCCACTCACTCACCCACCCATCCACCCACCCACCCACTCACCAACTCACTCACTCACCCACCCATCCACCCACTCACCCACCCACTCACTCACTCACCCACTCACTCACTCACCCACCCACCCACTCACTCACCCACTCACCCACTCACTCACCCACCCACCCACACACCCACCCACTCACCCACTCACCCACCCACTCACTCACCCACTCACCCACCCACTCACCCACCCACCCACTCACCCACCCACCCACCCACCCACTCACCCACCCACCCACTCACCCACCCACCCACTCACTCACTCACCCACTCACCCACTCCCTCACCCACTCACCCACCCACTCACCCACCCACTCACCCACCCACTCACCTACCCACTCACCCATCCACTCGCTCACTCACTCACCCACCCACTCACCCACCCACTCACCCACCCACTCACTCACCCATCCACTCACTCACCCACTCACCCACTCACTCACCCACCCACTCACTTACCCACCCACTCACCAACTCACCCACCCACTCACTCACTCACTCACCCACTCACCCACTCATTCACCCACCCACCCACCCACTCACTCACTCACCCACTCACTCACCCACTCACCCACCTACTCACTCACCCACTCACTCACCCACTCACTCACTCACCCACTCACTCACCCACCCATCCACCCACCCACCCACCCACTCACCAACTCACTCACTCACCCACCCATCCACCCACTCACCCACCCACTCACTCACTCACCCACTCACTCACTCACCCACCCACCCACTCACTCACCCACTCACCCACTCACTCACCCACCCACACACCCACCCACTCACCCACTCACCCACCCACCCACTCACCCACCCACCCACTCACCCACCCACCCACTCACTCACTCACCCACTCACCCACTCCCTCACCCACTCACCCACTCACTCACCCACTCACTCACCCACCCACTCACCCACTCACTCACCCACTCACCCACCCACTCACCCACCCACTCACTCACTCACCCACTCACTCACTCACCCACTCACTCACTCACCCACTCACTCACTCACCCACTCACTCACTCACCCACTCACCCACTCACTCACTCACTCACCCACCCACTTACCCACCCACCCACTCACTCACTCACCCACTCACTCACTCACCCACTCACTCACTCACCCACTCACCCACTCACCCACCCACTCACCCACTCACCCACCCACTCACCCACCCACTCACTCACCCACCCACTCACTCACCCACTCACTCACTCACTCACCCACCCACCCACTCACTCACCCACTCACTCACTCACCCACTCACCCACTCACTCACCCACCCACTCACCCACCCACTCACTCACCCACTCACTCACCCACTCACCCACTCACTCACCCACTAACTCACCCACTCACCCACTCACCCACCCACCCACTCACCCACTCACTCACCCACTCACCCACCCACTCACCCACTCACCCACTCAACCATTCACTCACCCACTCAACCATTCACTCACCCACCCACTCACTCACTCACCCACTTACTCACTCACCCACCCACCCACCCACTCACTCACCCACCCACTCACTCACCCACCCACTCACTCACTCACCCACCCACTCACCCACCCACCCACTCACCCACTCACTCACCCACTCACTCAAGCACTCACCCACTCACTCACTCACCCACCCACTCACCCACCCACCCACTCACTCACCCACCGACTCACTCACTCACCCACCCACCCACCCACTCACCCACTCACTCACCCACTCACTCACTCACCCACTCACCCACTCACTCACCCACCCACCCACTCACTCACTCACCCACTCACCCACTCACCCACCCACCCACCCACTCACCCACTCACTCACTCACCCACTCACTCACCTACTCACTCACTCACTCACCCACCCACTCACCCACCCACTCACCCACTCACTCACCCACTCACTCACTCACCCACCCACCCACGCACCCACCCACCCACCCACCCACCCACTCACTCACTCACCCACTCACTCACTCACCCACCCACCCACCCACTCACCCACTCACTCACAAACTCACCCACCCACTCACCCACTCACCCACCCACTCACCCACCCACTCACTCACCCACCCACCCACCCACTCACTCACCCACCCACTCACCCACTCACTCACTGACCCACTCACTCACCCACTCACCCACTCACTCACACACCCACCCACCCACCCACTCACCCACCCACTCACCCACTCACCCACTCACTCACTCACCCACTCACCCACCCACTCACCCACCCACCCACCCACTCACCCACCCACCCACCCACTCACCCACCCACTCACTCACCCACCCACTCACCCACCCACCCACTCACCCACCCACCCACTCACTCACTCACCCACTCACTCACTCACTCACCCACTCACCCACCCACTCACCCACACACCTACTCACCCACTCACTCACCCACTCACCCACCCACTCACCCACCCACTCACCCACCTACTCACTCACCCACCCACTCACCCACCCACTCACCCACCCACTCACCCACTCACCCACTCACTCACCCACTCACTCACCCACTCACTCACCCACTCACCCACTCACTCACCCACTCACTCACCCACCCACTCACTCACCCACTCACCCACCCACTCACTCACTCAACCACCCACTCACCCACCCACTCACCCACTCACCCACTCACTCACTCACCCACTCACCCACCCACTCACCCACCCACCCACCCACTCACCCACCCACTCACTCACCCACCCACTCACCCACCCACCCACTCACCCACCCACCCACTCACTCACTCACCCACTCACCCACCCACTCACCCACACACCTACTCACCCACTCACTCACCCACTCACCCACCCACTCACCCACCCAGTCACCCACCCACTCACCCACCCACCCACTCACTCACCCACTCACCCACCCACTCACCCACCCACTCACCCACCCACCCACTCACTCACCCACTCACCCACACACCTACTCACCCACTCACTCACCCACTCACCCACCCACCCACTCACCCACCCACCCACTCACTCACTCACCCACTCACCCACCCACTCACCCACACACCTACTCACCCACTCACTCACCCACTCACCCACCGACCCACTCACCCACTCACTCACTCACCCACTCACCGACCCACTCACCCACACACCTACTCACCCACTCACTCACCCACTCACCCACCCACTCACCCACACACCTACTCACCCACTCACTCACCCACTCACCCACCCACTCACCCACTCAACCACCCACTCACCCACCCACCCACTCACTCAACCACCCACTCACTCACCCACCCACCCACCCACTCACTCACCCACCCACTCACTCACCCACCCACTCACTCACCCACCCACTCACTCACCCACTCACCCACCCACTCACCCACACACCTACTCACCCACTCACCCACCCACTCACCCACTCACCCACTCACCCACCCACCCACTCACTCACCCACCCACCCACTCACTCACTCACCCACTCACTCACTCACCTACCCACTCACTCACCCACTCACTCACTCACCCACCCACTCACCCACTCACCCACTCACTCACTCACTCACCCACCCACTCACTCACCCACCCACCCACTCACTCACTCACCCACTCACCCACTCACCCACCCACCCACCCACTCACCCACTCACTCACTCACCCACTCACTCACCTACTCACCCACTCACTCACCCACCCACTCACCCACCCACTCACCCACTCACTCACCCACCTACTCACTCACCCACCCACTCACCCACCCACCCACCCACCCACTCACCCACCCACCCACTCACCCACCCACCCACTCACCAGTTTTCTGGGGTCCAATGATGATGATACTAGGCAGTCTGTCACAAGTCTTCTCCTTCGACCAAATGTCCTTGTGACGTTTATCATGGCAAGGATTCTAGCCGGAGAGATACACACACACAGAGATACACACACAGAGATACACACAGAGATACACACACAGTGAGAGAGATACACACAGTGATACACACACAGAGATACACACACAGAGATACACACAGAGATACACACAGAGATACACACAGAGATACACACACAGAGATACACACAGAGATACACACACAGAGATACACAGAGAGAGATACACACACAGAGATACACAGAGAGAGATACACACACAGAGATACACACACAGTGATACACACAGAGATACACACAGAGATACACACACAGAGATACACACACACAGAGATACACACACAGTGATACACAGAGAGAGATACACACACAGAGATACACAGAGAGAGATACACACACAGAGATACACACACAGAGATACACACAGAGATACACACACAGTGAGAGAGATACACACAGTGATGCACACACAGAGATACACACACAGAGATACACACACACAGAGATACACACAGAGACACACACACAGAGATACACACACAGAGATACACACACACACAGTGATACACACACAGTGATACACACACAGAGATACACACAGAGATACACACACAGTGAGAGAGATACACACACACAGTGATACACACACAGTGATACACACACAGAGATACACACAGAGATACACACACAGAGATACACACAGAGATACACACACAGTGATACACACACAGAGATACACACACAGAGATACACACACACAGAGATACACACACAGTGATACACACAGAGATACACACACAGAGATACACACACAGTGATACACACACAGTGATACACACACAGTGATACACACAGTGATACACACACAGTGATACACACACAGTGATACACACACAGAGATACACACAGTGAGATACACACACAGAGATACACAGAGAGAGATACACACACAGTGACACACACACAGTGATACACACACAGTGATACACACACAGAGATACACACAGAGATACACACACAGAGATACACACACACAGAGATACACACACAGAGATACACACACAGAGATACACACACAGAGATACACACACAGTGATACACACAGTGATACACACAGTGATACACACACAGTGATACACACACACAGAGATACACACACAGTGATACACACAGAGATACACACAGAGATACACACACACAGTGACACACACACAGTGATACACACACAGAAATACACACAGTGATACACACACAGTGATACACACACACAGAGATACACACACAGTGATACACACACAGTGATACACACACAGTGATACACACACAGTGATACACACACAGAGATACACACACAGAGATACACACAGAGATACACACAGAGATACACACACAGTGATACACACACAGAGATACACACAGTGATACACACACACAGTGATACACACACAGTGATACACACACAGTGATACACACACAGAGATACACACACAGTGATACACACACAGAGATACACACACAGTGATACACACAGAGAGATACACACACAGAGATACACACACAGAGATACACACACAGAGATACACACACAGTGATACACACACACAGAGAGATACACACACACAGATACACACACAGAGATACACACAGAGATACACACACAGAGATACACACACAGTGATACACACACAGAGATACACACACAGAGATACACACACAGTGATACACACAGAGATACACACACAGTGAGAGAGATACACACAGTGATACACACACAGAGATACACACACAGAGATACACACACAGCGATACACACACAGCGATACACACACAGCGATACACACACAGTGATACACACACAGAGATACACACACAGTGACACACACAGTGATACACACACAGTGATACACACACAGAGAGATACACACAGTGATACACACACAGTGATACACACAGAGATACACACACAGAGATACACACACAGTGACACACACACAGAGATACACACAGTGAGATACACACACAGTGATACACACACAGAGATACACACAGAGATACACACACACACAGATACACACACACAGAGATACACACAGAGACACACACACAGAGATACACACACAGAGATACACACACACACAGAGATACACACACAGTGATACACACACAGAGATACACACACAGTGATACACACACACACAGAGATACACACACACAGAGATACACACACAGAGATACACAAAGAGATACACACACAGAGATACACACACAGAGATACACACACAGTGACACACACACAGAGATACACACAGTGAGATACACACACAGTGATACACACACACAGTGATACACACACACAGAGATACACACACAGTGATACACACACAGAGATACACACACAGTGATACACACAGTGATACACACACAGTGATACACACACAGTGATACACACACAGAGATACACACAGTGAGATACACACACAGTGATACACACACAGAGATACACACACACAGAGATACACACACAGAGATACACACAGAGATACACACACAGAGATACACACACACAGTGATACACACACAGAGATACACACACAGAGACACACACAGTGATACACACACAGTGATACACACACAGAGATACACACACAGTGATACACACACAGAGATACACACACAGAGATACACACACAGAGATACACACACAGTGACACACACACAGAGATACACACACAGTGATACACACACAGTGATACACACACACAGAGAGATACACACACACAGATACACACACAGAGATACATACAGAGATACACACACAGAGATACACACACAGAGATACACACACAGAGATACACACAGAGAGATACACACACAGAGATACACACAGAGATACACACACAGTGATACACACACAGAGATACACACAGAGAGATACACACACAGTGATACACACACAGTGACACACACAGAGATACACACACAGAGATACACACAGAGAGATACACACACAGAGATACACACACAGTGATACACACAGTGATACACACACAGTGATACACACACAGTGATACACACACAGAGATACACACAGTGAGATACACACACAGTGATACACACACAGAGATACACACACAGATACACACACACAGAGATACACACACAGTGATACACACACAGTGATACACACACAGTGATACACACACAGTGATACACACACAGAGATACACACACAGTGATACACACACAGAGATACACACACAGTGATACACACAGAGATACACACACAGTGACACACACACAGTGAAACACACACAGTGAAACACACACAGAGATACACACAGTGATACACACAGTGATACACACAGTGATACACACACAGAGATACACACACAGAGATACACACACAGTGACACACACACAGTGATACACACACAGTGACACACACACAGTGATACACACACAGTGACACACACACAGTGACACACACACAGTGACACACACACAGAGACACACACACAGTGATACACACACAGAGATACACACACAGTGATACACACACACAGTGATACACACACAGTGATACACACACAGTGATACACACACAGAGATACACACACAGAGATACACACACAGAGATACACACACAGAGATACACACACAGTGATACACACACAGAGATACACACACAGTGATACACACAGTGATACACACACAGAGATACACACACAGAGATACACACACAGAGATACACACACAGAGATACACACACAGAGATACACACAGATACACACACAGTGATACACAGTGATACACACACAGTGATACACACACAGAGATACACACACAGAGATACACACACAGTGACACACACAGAGATACACACACAGTGATACACACAGTGATACACACACAGTGACACACACACACAGTGATACACACACAGAGATACACACACACACACAGTGATACACACAGTGACACACACAGTGACACACACAGAGATACACACACAGTGATACACACACAGTGACACACACACAGTGATACACACAGAGATACACACACAGAGATACACACACAGAGATACACACATAGAGATACACAGAGAGATACACACAGAGATACACACACAGAGATACACACACAGAGATACACACACAGAGATACACACACAGTGATACACACAGAGATACACACACAGAGATACACACAGAGATACACACACACACACAGATACACACAGAGATACACACAGAGATACACACAGAGATAACACACAGAGATACACACAGTGAAACACACACAGAGATACACACACAGAGATACACACAGTGATACACACAGTGATACACACACAGAGATACACACACAGAGATACACACAGAGAGATACACACACAGAGATACACAGAGAGAGATACACACACAGAGATACACACAGAGAGATATACACACAGAGATAGATACACACACACAGAGATACACACACAGAGATACACACACACAGAGATACACACAGAGATAACACACAGAGATACACAGTGATACACACACAGTGATACACACACTGGGTGAGTAGGTGAGTAAGTGGGTGGGTGAGTGAGTGGGTGGGTGAGTGAGTGGGTGGGTGAGTGAGTGACTGAGTGGGTGAGTGAGTGACTGAGTGAGTGAGTAGGTTAGTGGGTGAGTGAGTGAGTGGGTGAGTGAGTGGGTGAGTGAGTGAGTGGGTGAGTGAGTGAGTGGGTGAGTGAGTGGGTGAGTGGGTGAGTGAGTGGGTGGGTGAGTGAGTGGGTGAGTGGGTGAGTGAGTGAGTAGGTGAGTGAGTAGGTGAGTGAGTAGGTGAGTGGGTGAGTGACTGACTGAGTGAGTGAGTGACTGAGTGAGTGGGTGAGTGACTGACTGAGTGAGTGGGTGAGTGGCTGAGTGAGTGGGTGAGTGACTGAGTAGGTGAGTGGGTGAGTGACTGAATGAGTGACTGAGTAGGTGAGTGAGTGACTGAGTGAGTGAGTGGGTGAGTGGGTGACTGGGTGAGTAGGTGAGTAGGTGACTGAGTGAGTGACTGAGTGAGTGGGTGAGTAGGTGAGTGAGTGAGTGGGTGAGTGGGTGAGTGAGTGGGTGAGTGAGTGAGTGAGTGGGTGGGTGAGTGACTGAGTGAGTGGGTGGGTGAGTGAGTGAGTGGGTGAGTGAGTGAGTGAGTGGGTGGGTGAGTGGGTGAGTGAGTGAGTGGGTGAGTGGGTGGGTGGGCGGGTAAGTGAGTGAGTGAGTGGGTGAGTGAGTGAGTGGGTGAGTGAGTGAGTGGGTGAGTGGGTGAGTGAGTGAGTGAGTGGGTGAGTGAGTGAGTGGGTGAGTGAGTGAGTGGGTGGGTGGGTGAGTGGGTGGGTGGGTGGGTGAGTGAGTGAGTGAGTGGGTGAGTGAGTGAGTGGGTGAGTGAGTGAGTGAGTGGATGAGTGAGTGGGTGAGTGAGTAGGTGAGTGAGTGAGTGGGTGAGTGAGTGGGTGAGTGAGTGAGTGGGTGAGTGAGTGAGTGGGTGAGTGAGTGGGTGAGTGGGTGAGTGAGTGAGTGGGTGGGTGAGTGAGTGGGTGAGTGGGTGAGTGAGTGAGTGACTGAGTGAGTGAGTGAGTGACTAACTGAGTGGGTGAGTGGGTGAGTGAGTGGGTGAGTGAGTGGGTGAGTGAGTGAGTGAGTGACTGACTGGGTGAGTGAGTGGGTGACTGAGTGAGTGACTGACTGAGTGGGTGAGTGAGTGGGTGAGTAGGTGAGTGAGTGGGTGAGTGAGTGAGTGACTGACTGGGTGAGTGACTGAGTGAGTGAGTGACTGAGTGACTGACTGACTGACTGAGTGAATGGGTGAGTGAGTGACTGACTGGGTGAGTGACTGAGTGAGTGAGTGACTGACTGACTGAGTGAGTGGGTGAGTGAGTGAGTGAGTGGGTGAGTGAGTGGGTGAGTGAGTGGGTGGGTTGGTGGGTGAGTGAGTGAGTGAGTGGGTGCTTGGGTGAGTGGGTGAGTGAGTGAGTGGGTGAGTGGGTGAGTGAGTGGGTGAGTGGGTGGGTGAATGAGTGAGTGAGTGGGTGAGTGAGTGAGTGGGTGAGTGGGTGAGTGAGTGGGTGAATGGGTGAGTGACTGAGTGACTGACTGAGTGGGTGAGTGAGTGAGTGGCTGAGTGAGTGAGTGAGTAGGTGAGTGAGTGACTGACTGAGTGACTGACTGAGTGAGTGACTGAGTGACTGAGTGGGTGAGTGAGTGAGTGAGTGGGTGAGTGAGTGACTGACTGACTGAGTGACTGAGTGAGTGACTGACTGACTGAGTGACTGACTGACTGACTGAGTGAGTGAGTGAGTGACTGACTGAGTGACTGAGTGAGTGACTGAGTGACTGACTGAGTGACTGACTGAGTGAGTGAGTGACTGAGTGACTGACTGAGTGACTGACTGACTGAGTGACTGACTGAGTGACTGACTGAGTGACTGAGTGAGTCACTGAGTGGCTGACTGAGTGAGTGACTGACTGAGTGACTGAGTGACTGACTGACTGAGTGAGTGACTGAGTGGGTGAGTGAGTGAGTGGGTGAGTGAGTGAGTGGGTGGGTGACTGAGTGACTGACTGAGTGAGTGACTGACTGACTGAGTGACTGAGTGACTGACTGACTGGGTGAGTGACTGAGTGACTGAGTGAGTGAGTGAGTGACTGACTGAGTGACTGAGTGAGTGACTGAGTGACTGACTGAGTGACTGACTGAGTGACTGAGTGACTGACTGAGTGACTGACTGACTGAGTGACTGACTGAGTGACTGAGTGAGTCACTGAGTGGCTGACTGAGTGAGTGACTGACTGAGTGACTGAGTGACTGACTGACTGAGTGAGTGACTGAGTGGGTGAGTGAGTGAGTGGGTGAGTGAGTGGGTGAGTGGGTGGGTGACTGAGTGACTGAGTGAGTGACTGACTGAGTGAGTGACTGAGTGACTGAGTGGCTGAGTGAGTGACTGACTGAGTGACTGACTGACTGAGTGACTGACTGACTGACTGAGCGACTGACTGAGTGACTGACTGAGCGACTGACTGACTGAGTGACTGAGTGACTGACTGAGTGACTGACTGAGTGACTGAGTGACTGACTGAGTGACTGACTGAGTGAGTGACTGAGTGGCTGACTGAGTGAGTGAGTGAGTGGGTGGCTGAGTGACTGAGTGACTGACTGAGTGACTGACTGAGTAGGTGACTGAGTGAGTGACTGACTGAGTGACTGACTGAGTGACTGACTGACTGAGTGAGTGAGTGGGTGAGTGAGTAGGTGAGTGAGTAGGTGAGTGAGTGGTGAGTAGGTGAGTGGGTGAGTGAGTGAGTAGGTGAGTGACTGAGTGAGTGAGTGTGTGAGTGGGTGAGTGAGTGAGTGGTGAGTGAGTGAGTGAGTCACCTGCCACACTGGGTGAGTGTCCCCGGGGTACAGGGAGAAGTAGGCTTGTGCCATCAGCGGCGGAGTGAGTGAGTGGGTGGGTGACTGAGTGAGTGAGTGAGTGGGTGAGTGAGTGAGTGGGTGAGTGAGTGGGTGGGTGAGTGAGTGAGTGAGTGGGTGAGTGAGTGGGTGACTGAGTGAGTGAGTGAGTGGGTGGGTGGGTGAGTGGGTGAGTGGATGGGTGAGTGAGTGGGTGAGTGGTGGGTGAGTGACTGAGTGACTGAGTGACTGACTGACTGAGTGACTGACTGACTGAGTGAGTGAGTGAGTCACCTGCCACACTGGGTGAGTGTCCCCGGGGTACAGGGAGAAGTAGGCTTGTGCCATCAGCGGCGGAGTGAGCGTTGACAGCTCCAGGTGGGTGTAGCAGCTCAGGAAAGACACCAGGCTTTCGAAGGTGTACAGGCCCAGACGGTCGTTCCCGTAGTTGGACAGATGGGTCATGAAGATGTTCACCTGGTGGTGGTGGTGGTGGTGAGCAGTGGTGGTGAGGAGTGGTGGTGAGGAGTGGTGGTGAGGGTAGTGGTGGTGAGGAGCGGGGGTGAGGAGTGGTGGTGAGGAGTGGTGGTGGTGAGGGTAGTGGTGGTGAGGAGGGAGGGGCAGTCGGTTACTCAGCCACTCACTCACTCAGTCACTCACTCACTCACTCAGCCACTCACTCAGCCACTCACTCAGCCACTCACTCACTCACTCAGTCACTCACTCACTCAGCCACTCACTCACTCAGTCACTCACTCACTCACTCAGCCACTCACTCAGCCACTCACTCAGCCACTCACTCACTCACTCAGTCACTCACTCACTCAGTCACTCACTCAGCCACTCACTCAGCCACTCACCCACCCACTCACTCAGTCACTCACTCAGTCACTCACTCACCCACTCACTCACTCAGCCACTCACTCACTCAGCCACTCACTCACTCAGTCACTCACTCAGCCACTCACTCAACCACTCACCCACCCACTCACTCACTCAGTCACTTACTCACTCAGTCACTCACTCACTCAGCCACTCACTCAGTCACTCACTCAGCCACTCACTCACTCAGTCACTTACTCACTCAGTCACTCAGTCACTCACTCACTCAGTCACTCACTCACTCACTCAGCCACTGACCCACCCACTCACTCACTCAGCCATGCACTCACTCAGCCACTCACTCAGCCATTCACTCACTCAGCCATTCACTCACTCAGCCACTCACTCACTCAGCCATTCACTCACTCACTCACCCACTCACTCACTCACTCAGCCACTCACTCACTCACTCAGTCACTCACCCACCCGCTCACTCACTCAGTCACTCACTCACTCACCCACTCACTCACCCACTCACTCACTCACTCAGCCACTCACTCACTCAGTCACTCACTCAGCCACTCACTCAGCCACTCACCCACTCACTCACTCAGCCATTCACTCACTCAGCCACTCACTCAGCCACCCACTCACTCAGCCATTCACTCACTCAGCCACTCACTCACTCAGCCATTCACTCACTCACTCAGCCACTCACTCACTCAGTCACTCACTCACTCACCCACTCACTCACTCAGCCACTCACTCACTCACTCAGCCACCCACCCACTCACTCACCCACCCACCCACTCACTCACCCACCCACTCACTCACCCACCCACCCTAGTTAGTGCTAGTTACTAACAGGAGTTACTAGTATCGTAGTGATAGTTAGTGATAGTGCTAGTTAGTGCTAGTTAGAGCTAGTTACTAACAAGAGTTAGTAGTATCGTAGTGAAGAGTTAGTGATAGTTAGTGATAGTTAGTGATAGTGATAGTTAGTGCTAGTTAGTGCTAGTTACTAACAGGAGTTAGTAGTATCGTAGTGCTAGTTAGTGATAGTGCTAGTTAGTGCTAGTTAGTGCTAGTTAGTGATAGTTAGTGATAGTTAGTGCTAGTTACTAACAGGAGTTAGTAGTATTGTAGTGATAGTTAGTGATAGTGCTAGTTAGTGATAGTGTTAGTTAGTGCTAGTTACTAACAGGAGTTAGCAGTATCGTACTGAAGAGTTAGTGATAGTTAGTGATAGTTAGTGATAGTGCTAGTTAGTGATAGTTAGTGTTAGTTACTAACAGGAGTTAGTAGTATCGTAGTGAAGAGTTAGTGATAGTTAGTGATAGTTAGTGATAGTGCTAGTTAGTGATAGTGCTAGTTAGTGCTAGTTAGTGCTGGTTACTAACAGGAGTTAGAAGTATCGTAGTGAAGAGTTAGTGATAGTTAGTGATAGTTAGTGATATTTAGTGATAGTGTTAGTTAGTGATAGTGCTAGTTAGTGCTAGTTAGTGCTGGTTACTAACAGGAGTTAGAAGTATCGTAGTGAAGAGTTAGTGATAGTTAGTGATAGTTAGTGATAGTGCTAGTTAGTGCTAGTTACTAACAGGAGTTAGAAGTATCGTAGTGAAGAGTTAGTGATAGTTAGTGATAGTGCTAGATAGTGATAGTTAGTGCTGGTTAGTGCTAGTTAGTGCTGGTTACTAACAGGAGTTAGTAGTATCGTAGTGAAGAGTTAGTGTTAGTTAGTGATAGTTAGTGATAGTGCTAGTTAGTGCTAGTTAGTGCTGGTTACTAACAGGAGTTAGAAGTATCGTAGTGAAGAGTTAGTGATAGTTAGTGATAGTTAGTGATATTTAGTGATAGTGTTAGTTAGTGATAGTGCTAGTTAGTGATAGTTAGTGCTGGTTAGTGCTAGTTAGTGCTGGTTAGTGCTAGTTAGTGCTGGTTACTAACAGGAGTTAGAAGTATCGTAGTGAAGAGTTAGTGCTAGTTAGTGATAGTGCTAGTTAGTGCTAGTTAGTGCTAGTTAGTGCTAGTTAGTGCTGGTTAGTGATAGTTAGTGCTGGTTACTAACAGGAGTTAGAAGTATCGTAGTGAAGAGTTAGTGATAGTTAGTGATAGTTAGTGATAGTGCTAGTTAGTGCTAGTTAGTGCTGGTTAGTGCTAGTTAGTGATAGTTAGTGATAGTTAGTGATAGTGCTAGTTAGTGCTAGTTAGTGCTGGTTAGTGCTAGTTAGTGCTAGTTAGTGATAGTTAGTGATAGTGCTAGTTAGTGCTGGTTACTAACAGGCGTTAGAAGTATCGTAGTGAAGAGTTAGTGCTAGTTAGTGCTAGTTAGTGCTAGTTAGTGCTGGTTAGTGGTAGTTAGTGCTGGTTACTAACAGGAGTTAGAAGTATCGTAGTGAAGAGTTAGTGATAGTTAGTGATAGTTAGTGATAGTGCTAGTTAGTGCTAGTTAGTGCTGGTTACTAACAGGAGTTAGAAGTATCGTAGTGAAGAGTTAGTGATAGATAGTGATAGTTAGTGATAGTGCTAGTTAGTGCTAGTTAGTGATAGTTAGTGATAGTGCTAGTTAGTGCTAGTTAGTGCTGGTTAGTGGTAGTTAGTGCTGGTTACTAACAGGAGTTAGAAGTATCGTAGTGAAGAGTTAGTGATAGTTAGTGATAGTGCTAGTTAGTGATAGTTAGTGCTAGTTAGTGCTGGTTACTAACAGGAGTTAGAAGTATCGTAGTGAAGAGTTAGTGCTAGTTAGTGATAGTGCTAGTTAGTGCTAGTTAGTGATAGTTAGTGATAGTGCTAGTTAGTGCTGGTTACTAACAGGAGTTAGAAGTATCGTAGTGAAGAGTTAGTGATAGTTAGTGATAGTGCTAGTTAGTGCTGGTTAGTGCTAGTTAGTGCTGGTTACTAACAGGAGTTAGAAGTATCGTAGTGAAGAGTTAGTGCTAGTTAGTGATAGTGCTAGTTAGTGCTAGTTAGTGATAGTTAGTGATAGTGCTAGTTAGTGCTGGTTACTAACAGGAGTTAGAAGTATCGTAGTGAAGAGTTAGTGATAGTGCTAGTTAGTGCTAGTTAGTGATAGTTAGTGATAGTGCTAGTTAGTGCTGGTTACTAACAGGAGTGAGTAGTATCGTAGTGAAGAGTTAGTGATAGTTAGTGATAGTGCTAGTTAGTGCTAGTTAGTGCTAGTTAGTGCTGGTTACTAACAGGAGTTAGAAGTATCGTAGTGAAGAGTTAGTGATAGTTAGTGATAGTGCTAGTTAGTGTTAGTTAGTGCTGGTTACTAACAGGAGTTAGAAGTATCGTAGTGAAGAGTTAGTGATAGATAGTGATAGTTAGTGATAGTGCTAGTTAGTGATAGTTAGTGCTAGTTAGTGCTGGTTAGTGCTAGTTAGTGCTGGTTACTAACAGGAGTTAGAAGTATCGTAGTGAAGAGTTAGTGATAGTTAGTGATAGTTAGTGATAGTGTTAGTTAGTGATAGTGCTAGTTAGTGCTAGTTAGTGCTGGTTACTAACAGGAGTTAGAAGTATCGTAGTGAAGAGTTAGTGCTAGTTAGTGATAGTTAGTGATAGTGCTAGTTAGTGCTAGTTAGTGCTAGTTAGTGCTGGTTACTAACAGGAGTTAGAAGTATCGTAGTGAAGAGTTAGTGCTAGTTAGTGATAGTGCTAGTTAGTGCTAGTTAGTGCTGGTTAGTGCTAGTTAGTGCTGGTTACTAACAGGAGTTAGAAGTATCGTAGTGAAGAGTTAGTGATAGTTAGTGATAGTGATAGTTAGTGATAGTGCTAGTTAGTGATAGTGCTAGTTAGTGATAGTTAGTGATAGTGCTAGTTAGTGCTAGTTAGTGCTAGTTAGTGCTGGTTACTAACAGGAGTTAGAAGTATCGTAGTGAAGAGTTCCCCTCCGTGGATGCTACGTTCCAGTTCCATCGCACCGCCCGGGAATTCAGCGTAGCGGATCGTGTGGGTGAAAAGTCCGCATGTCTGTCTGGGTAACACCTACTTAGACACACACACATAGACACACACACATAGACACACACACATAGACACACACACAGAGAGACAGAGAGACAGAGAGACAGAGAGTGTGAGTGGATGATAGTGTGGGTGAAAAGTCCGCATGTCTGTCTGGGTAACACCTACTTAGACACACACACATAGACACACACACACATAGACAGACACATAGACACACACACACACACAGAGACAGAGAGACAGAGAGACAGAGAGTGTGAGTGGATGATAGTGTGGGTGAAAAGTCCACATGTCTGTCTGGGTAACACCTACTTAGACACACACATACACACACACATAGACACACACACATAGACACACACACACATAGAGAGACAGAGAGACAGAGAGTGTGAGTGGATGATAGTGTGGGTGAAAAGTC